TGAAATTCCATTGAGAGAGGAATTTCTTCCCGACTATGACTCAGTTTGGATATATTTCAGCACAGCCATTGAAAGGAAGGTTAAATAGGAATTCATTCCCAAAACAAGAACGGGCCAATATCCATCTTCAGGATATTTTGTCTTTTTGGGCCTTTGCAGGTTTCAGAGCTCGAAGCTGTAAAAAGCATAATATTTCCATTGTTGTTCATTTGAACAGCTCTTAAGGCGGTTTTCGTGGTTGGAACTCGGGAGGGGGTCTGTTCCTTTAACAAAGGGAGCGGTGCTTTCTCATGCATGTTCCCTTTGTGAGAAAAACCACTGTAACAACCCAGAATCCGTTTTCGACTGCTTGCCTTTCAAACCTCAAAAGATCAAGCATCTGCGAGCATAATTAGGGAAGGTACAAGATCAATAAACACACTGTAAAAAGTGTTTTCGACACGTGGAAGAGACAGACTTGCAGAGTAGATATGTCACTTTCCAACTAGAACAGTGAAAGGTAGGCCATGGGGGGGGGGGGGTGACCGTATACATGGCACCCCCCCCATTCTACCACAGAATCAACAAGGAAAAAAGGCATACGTAACAGTTGGAACAACACAGCTACGACTAACAAAACAAAGGTGCATGGGGGGACCATGTACATGTGTATATATATATATATGTATGCATATATGTGTATACACACTGATATCGCCCTTATAAGCGTGCCATTCATTCGTATTCTTTTTCTAGATATCTACACTCTCTTTTTTTTTTGTGTGCGAAGTGCCATGAACTGTTCGTTCAAGATGCGAATAAGTCTTGCGGGCAGACAGTTTGTTGCTGGTGGGGGAGGGGGTTCAGGGCCCTGCGAACAGCGCTGCTCTCCGGAAAGCTAAATGCCAGTGCGCCACCAGATGTTGCTGGGGTTCTATGTAAGAGTTGATGGATTTGCAAGGTGGGCCGAGCCTTGGGAAGTCCTTTTTCAAGCCACATGAGCCAAGGGGAAGTAGACACCCGTTAGGGAACGTGCCTATTGACCGCATTATACCCGCTTCCGCATGACTCTGGCAGGGTACATTGAATGTTACATTGTGCCGTGCAAAGGGACTCTTGGGAGAAACACTGTTCATCATTTTCCTCTGGTGTCTTTTTGCCATGTGATTTTCAACCGAGAGGTTCCATAATATGGCGTTCTTGATCTGCAACGTGGACCATTTCAATGGCAGATTTAAGTCTCTCTGCTAGCGTAACGTGACCTCCCCCACAAGAGGAGATTCGGTTGGTTGGGGATGACATGGACCTCGGGAATGTTACTGAACAACCATGTTCTTGGTGGCTCCCAGCCATCCTCTGAGCTTTTTAGCTTTTTAGCTTTTTAGTATTTAGTGGGACTTTCCATTTAAGCCACTAAAAGTTAGTCACTTTTTGCGGGGGATCTGAGGGTAGCCCAGTGTTATGAGAATGGCCAGCAGTTTGACCAATGGAATCTTCTTACCTCCCAGCGGTCGCTCCTAGGTGAGGCGGCAGAGCTCGAGGTGCCCTCCAACACTTCGGTGCAGGAGGGTCGCGAAACGGAGAGCGAAAGGGGGCTTACACAGCGGGATAGATTGGTTCGTGTTCTTTTTGTTTTCTTCGTTCTTCCTTCCTTCCTTGCTGTCTTCCCTTTCTTTCTTGCTTCTTTCTTTCTCCCCTCCTCGCTCCCTTCTCCCTGCTTCCCTTTCTCCCTCCCTCGTTCCCTCCCTCCCTCCCTTGCGCCCTCATTCCCTTTCTCTCTCTCTCTCTCTCTCTCTCTCTCTCTCTCTCTCTCTCTCTCTCTCTCTCTCCCTGCTGTCTTTCAAGTTGCGCCTCTCCTTTTCTCCTTTGCAAACCCCGCGAACGCCGACAAGTTGGGCGGCTATCCAGCGGCGTTTGCGTTGGTTTCCAGGGACAACTTCATTGGGTTCCACGTCAAGTTGAAATCTATGTGAAGCATGGACCAAAACCTGCGGTGTTGTGGTGGCTCAATTTTGACCCATACCCATTTTTCGCATCGAAAAATGCGGGGGGGTCCCTTTGGTATCCACGAGGAGCTGAAGCTCAAAGCGCAAAGGGAGTTCGGCATCCACGAGCTGGTCACCTCGCGAGGCGAGTGCGGGGTTCGCTTTAGCGCGAGCTTTTCAAGGGACGTCTCTGGATGAAACAAACATATGGCTGTGGCTCAAAAAACAGGAATTCCAAAATGGCTTGCCCTGGCAAGTGGAAACATGGACCAAAACCTGCGTAACCCCTCCTGTTTAGTTTTGAGCCATACCCATGTATGCGAAATATTCCATAATTTGTTAATGTACAATTTTATGTAACCCCGGAAAGTAGGTCTTTGGTTCTTTGGCGTGCCTTGCAATGTTGACCTCGGAACCCCTTTTCCGAGCAATGGGGGGTCTCTCCCGAAAGTTAGCCGGATTCCCGCAAGGGAACACCGCAGCATTATAGAATCAAACATGAACCGTTGAGTAATCCGGGGTTCCCATTCGTCAAAAGATGGACGCCCTGTCTGGGGGCACGGAACGATTCCGATTCGTTGGAAGATCAAACGGTTTGGGGCTGTCGTGAGAGTTGGCACCCTTGGGGCTTCGAGTCCCAAATTGGAAAAGAAGTTAAGAACCAAGACTGGTCAAGAGCACAAGCCCAAGGCCCGTGGAGCGCAAGGGCATGAATACTGTGAGGTGCCCTTTCGTGGATGCTAAAGAAAGACATTCTTTGGCTTGTTTTGGAGCCACGGGACATATAAGGCTGCATCAACACATCCCTGTTCTACTTGGATCTTTTCAACGTCCCCTAAGGGTGGTTGTGTGGTTGTGGTTTGGTTCACCGTGATTCCCTGCATTTTCCCTGACAGAGTTGGCAGTCTGCTACTGTCCATGCAGACAACCAACATGTCCCAAATTCACCCGGACCAGACAACTTTGTCTGTGGGTCATCTAGAGTATGGTTGACGTACTCCCTCCGAAACAACGACATCAGATTCAATCCCTTGCCCCCAAGCCCAATGGGCCCCACCCCATTATTTTTTGGGATCCACTGTCAAACGTATGCCAACCTCACGACTCAAGATGGTTTTCAACCTGCCCATGTTGACCTTTCCTTTTACAAGGACCCCTCATTTTCCGTTGGCCTATGATTCTCATCGAATCAGGATTTGTTGGGTTGCCTCCGTGATTCTGAACAACATGGGTACAATCGGGATTACACCGGGCAAAGATACCAATGGAAATACGGAGACTGGGCTCGCTCAGGTTGCCATGGCCCTTCCTTTCTCCCATGGCTCCGAGCGGCTCGTGGCTTTTTCTTTCCGCAGGCCAGCTGCTGAGGGGCCTCTGCACTTTGAGGGAGGCCGGGCTCCGGGACGGGGAGACCATCAGCGCCACCGTGAGGCGCGGCTGGGGTTTCTCCGCTTTGCCTTCGGGGCGAGCGTCATGGTGAGAGGCTTGGGGTGGGGTGTTGTGAGTGGTAGGGCGGATTGATAGAACGCGCCCCGCTTTCTTTTTGGGCCATCTCTACTCTGTGTTGACAAGCGTCTGCCATAGGATTCAGAATTGAACGGGGAATATATGTTGAATGATCGCCTGTTGCATTGGCTCACGATCGATTGTTGCCCCAAAAGGGCGTGCAAGATTGATGTCGTTTCCAATGTTTGCACTTAGTTACTCAAAGAACCCTCGTGTGGGTGGCTTACACTTTGGCTGCGTCCACCGCTGGAAACAAACAGCACCTGCGTCTTTGATTCGCACTCTTGCGACACATACTCACACACACGCACATTCCCAGGCTGTATTTGGTTCATGATCTACTAATTTTCCCCACTGGGCTAATATTGCCCTAATTGAACATGTTTAGAGCACTTTGTTGATTAGCTTCCTTTCGGGTTTCTTCAAAAGGGACCTTTTCATCTCTTGCTTGTTGACGTCGGATTCAGATTCCGGAGTGTAATCCGAGGGATCCCCTATTTGGAATTCGTCACAGGGGCACCACCCCTCATTACACGTCAACGCTTCCCCCGGATTAATGAACCCCCCACTTGTTGAAGGGGGCCTTTTTTTCGGTGGGGAGTCCTTTCTTCCGGGGACCCTGATGAAACGATCCCGGGCCGCTTCGAAGCCCGGAGAAGCCGGGCGCTTCGGCCGAAACCGGATCCGCGCGGCCAGATCCGCTCGCCTGTCCTCGGGGCGCCTGTGCCGGGCCTTCGCGCTGGTGCGCGGGGATGGCACCGTGGTGTCCTGGGGCGACAAAGTCGCCTGCGGCCAGCGCCGAGGTTGAAACATGGATCTGGATGTCGTGGATCTCGATTTCGAAAAAGAAGAAGAAACAAGTTGGGGTTGACTGGACATGGGTGTGGTTGTCAAAACCGTTTTGGGATCCCATTTTGGTTGGTAGGTGAATTCACCACCCGTTTTAGAACCTATTTTAGTGGGGATAGGGATGTTCACTGGGGGTACGGGATTTTGACCCATGGCCATATGGATCTCGATGTCGTGGATTTCGATTTTCGAAAAAAAAAAAAAAAAAAAAAAAAAAAAAAAAAAAAAAAAAAAAAAAAAAAAAAAAAAAAAAAACATGGTTGGGGTTTCGCCAGTGTGGACGAGACCGAGCCATCCAGACAGGAACCACCAGCTACTCTGCAGAATATAGGGGGGTTGATCACAAGGTCCGAAATACATGGGATGACCATTGGTTGGACAACCACAAAAAATGGGGAAAATCATTGCTATTTTGGGGCCAGGAACATTGATCAACCCCCATATGTTGAGGTTTGACTAGTGTGGATGGTTGGGAGTCATCCAGAAATCGCACCACCTACTGGCTTCTCAAATTCCTTCCGACCTGTTTGAGTTTTTGACCGAACCCGCATGCACCTTGCATGGTCACGGTTCATACAACGGTGGTTGCCGTTTGGGGAAACGTTCCTCGGGCCAAAGGTCCCCGAAGGATTTCAGTCTTTCGCAGAGAATGGGGAATGAACCTTCCGAGCATTTGCCAGATCGCTGGTGAAGGGCGGCAGTGAGCTGGGAGGTTCTCAGGGTTTGGCGGACGTCAAGTACGCTGTTCCATTTGGGCGACGCCGTTTTTGTGTTGCGAAATCAATCGGCTTTTTGCTTTTTGGGATGGTTTCAAAAGCAAGCCGAAAGGAGCAATAGAACAATTCGGTTAAAGGACGTCAGGCGGCTTTTCCATGAATTTTCAAGAACCTTGTTGCCAACCACAGAAGCACCAGCCAGAACTGCTCTACGCAAGCGGTTCCCCACATTGGATTCTGAACCCGGCCCTCATGGACCTCGTGGCCTTCGAATGGCTTGGCAATGCCTCCTTTGGAGCCTTACCTTGTCGCCCTCGGCTTCCGGGAAAAAGCCGCCCATGCATCCCAAATCCCCACATTTTTTGCCCCAAGTCAGATGCATGGTCCAAATCCAAAAAGAATCGCCATGCGTCCAAATCTCCACATTGTTTGCCCCAAGTCAGATGCATGGTCCAAATCCAAAAAGAATTGCCATGTGTCCAAATCCCCACATTCTTTGCTCCAAGTCAGATGCATGGTCCAAATCCAAAAAGAATCGCAATGCGTCCACATTCTTTGCCCCAAGTCCTCACATTTTTGCCCAAAGTCAGATGCATGGTCCAAATCCAAAAAGAGTCGCCATGCGTCCAAATCCCCATATTTTTGCCCCAAGTCAGGTGCATGGTCCAAATCCAAAAAGAATCGCAATCGTCCAAACCCCACATTTTTTGGCCCGAAATCAGATGTGTGGATTGATTTTTTTCTGAGGTATAAGCGCATCTTCAGGGAAAAAGACCACCAAATCCCAACCTTTTGGCCCAAGTCGGATCTGTCTGAGGTATAGCGACATCAACTGGGAGGAGCTCAGGGACGTGCAGAAGATCCGGCCCTCCAGTGGTGCCTTCGCTGCGCTGCTGGGGAACGGCCGTGTGCTGACCTGGGGCGACACCTCCTCCGGCGCGGCGCCTTGGAGTAGAGAGACACCGCAGGCCACCCCTCCGGCCCCGTTGTTTTTCGGTGAAGGGGACAGTTGGGTCAGGAGAAGATGTTCTCCAGGAGTGGGAGCATCTTCAAGCCAGTTTTTAACAGCTTTTGGACATTTCTTGTTGTTGGTGTGTGTTTTAAGAGAGGAACAAGGGGTGTATCACTTGGTGATATTTGTTCTGCACCTTTTCAGGCATTCTCCGTAAGGCATGGTAATTTTCCCTTTTCACATATGGTTGCACGGGTTATTACCTTTTGTGATGTTTTTTTTTGGCGATGGCGGGTGAGGTTTTTAGTTTTTTTTAGCTCCGGGATCCCACTCTTTGGAGGCTTCGATACTTCTATTTGCCTTTGTGTAAGGATGTTGTTTTTTTGCCATTATTTTCACCGTCCCAAGAGACTTTGTTAAATTCAAGAGGGCTTTTGATTGCCAAAGGGCCACACCCTCCAACATGAGGTCAAGCGGCAAACCCCTGGAGAATACCCGATCACAGGGATCCACTTATGGCTCACTGAATCTTCATGCAATTGCCACGTGTTTCCTAAATAAGGAGCCTCCTTTTCGCATGTTTCACATGGTCTTAGAGGAAAACCAAGCGCAAACCACCAGTCCACTATGCCCATCGCTTTTGGGTCACACGTACCCCCCCCCCCACTTAATTTCCGTCGCTTTTTGGGCTATACCCGCTCCATTTCCGCTGGGATTGTTGTTTTTCATTTCTGCACATAACAAGCTCCCCGCGGCGGTGCTTTTTGTTTTGCTTCCTTTTCTAACCTATCTTTGTTGGCTGGCCATACTGGGGCAAGCTAAGGAGCCTCCCCTTCCCAATTCACTCGACAGATGGTGTTTTTGGCGCTTTTCGCCGTTCCAAATGTTTTTTTTCCGCTAACCGCGGTTTCGTTGTTTTTTTGGGGGGTGCGTTTTCCGAGCTGCCGAGCGCTGTTTTTTGTTTGGCGAGGACAGCAGCGCGGTGCGGTCGCAGCTGCACGAGGTGGTGGAGATCGAGAGCTCCGCCTTCGCCTTCGCGGCCATCCGCCGGGACGGCTCCGTGGTGACCTGGGGGGACCCGCGCTTCGGCGGGGACTCGCGCCAGGTGAGGGACCAGCTGGCGCCTGGGCTTAGATGGCTTGGGGCGCACTGGCACATGTGGCTATGAGTTGAAAAATAAGGAACCCCCCTGGAAAGTGGGTGGTGGACAAAAATCCCTACCTAAATGAGGTCCACCAAAGGGTTCCTAAGTAAAAATCATACCCATGTCAATTTTCCATACTTGATACATGCATACTTGCTTTCATGCAAAGATATGATGCGCACAGAGACCGGCGACTTATCGCCACGACTCGACTTCTTTGGGCGTGAAGGGTGGGGTGGGTGGGGTGGGTGGGGTGGGTGGGGTGGGTGGGGTGGGTGGGGTGGGTGGGGTGGGTGGGGTGGGTGGCGTGGGTGGGGTGGGCGGGGTGGGTGGGGTGGGTGGTTGAGAGCAAGTCGGCATCATGAGCTTCCTTCACATTTGAACGTTTGTTTTTGGAGAAGTGCAGGAGAAACGACATCTGAGAGTGGATTGCTTTGTTGCACTCGTGACTTAACTCGTCGCCCTCCCCTTTCAGACGCAAGTGGACGTACGAGTGAGTTCATTTGTTTTCATTCCAGCTTTGCCTTAGCTTCGGTATTTCCCAGCGAGCTTACTTGGGCGTACAGCAAGTCTTTTTTCTTCCTCCTGGATTTCCTTTTCGTTTCCTTTCTGTCTGGAGCCGTTGTTCGGCTTCCAGTTTGAGCTTTTGTTTTTGGGGGAAGAATAGTTGTCCTTCAGTTTGGCTGAACATAGAGGATTCCACTGGTTTCAGTTCATCCTTTCGTGTTTCATCCCATCCAAACGGACCATGTGGGGCGATACGGGCCAACAGCGAGCGGATCGCGGTCTGCCTTGAAAGTGATGAACATGCTACGGGTCCTTTTAAAGGGGGGGTTGTCGCAGTCTTGAAAGCGATGAACATGCTACGTGTCCTTTTGGGGCGGGGGGTTCTTGAAAGTATTGAACATGATACGAGTCTTGTGGGGTGAAGGCTCTGATTTGAAAAGGCCGAAGCCAGAGCTTGTGGCTCGAAGGTGGAGATCCAGCACATCGCGGGCTCGGGCCGGGCCTTCGCCGCCATCCGCCGGGACGGGCGGGTGGTGGCCTGGGGCAGCGAGGACTGCGGCGGGGACTGCGGGGAGGTGAAGGACCAGCTCCAGGACGTGGTGCAGGCGGAGTCGGTCGGGATCGTCAAAATCTGAGTTCTCAAAGGGACACCCACCAGTGTATGGCTTTATGAATCCGGGGTTCGATTGGGATCATGTTGTTGGGCAACATTTTACATGTTTGCTTCTTGTGGTTTAGTGGTGGAAATCCAACCACTTAACTGCTAAAATTGATTTGTTGCTCCCTTTCCAACGTCAACCAAGAAATCCGGGAGTTGGAACAGTCCATGGCGTGCCGTTTTGGCTTCCGTTTTTGAATGGTGCCAAAAAGCAGCCGCCACAACATGCTTCCAAGATTCCGCTGGTTGCATTTGTGGTTCCAAGCAATTGGTAGGGTCATTTGTTTGTTCGACAAGACACCTCTGCGCGGGGGGGTGGTATACATCTATGTTTTTTTTTGTGGTGCGAGCTTGGTGTTTCGTCAGTGCAAGTTCCAACTTGCGGAGGAAGGATGCATATGGGGCGGAACCCGCTTGGCCTTTCGCTGTCGTGCGCCTGCAGGGCTCGCTCCTGTTCCAGTTTCCACTGGACTCCGATTCAATCGACTGGCCTTGGATGTTGCGACATGTGGCGACTCAAAAGCTAGCCTTGGATCGGAGACCCTCCGGCACAGAGCCAAACACATACAAGTCGAGCTTCCTATTGTCAAGGCTCAGTCGGCAGTACTCGCGCTGTTCTTGACACATGGCATTATTTTCGCCTTTTTTGACACTGTTCAGTTTTCGTGGGCTGCTTTTTGCGAACATGCAAAGGATTGGTAAGACTTTGTTTTCTTTGAAGGGGGGAAGGTTCAAATGGGGTCCCAACCCAAAGGCTTTAGCTTTCCTTGCGCTCTCCACTTGGCTCGTTCGAGGTCCACAACACCTACTCCGCCTTTGCGGCCATCCGCCGGGACGGGTCAGTAGTGACCTGGGGCGACAAGCACGGGGGCGGGGACATCAGCGAGGTGATCACTCAGCTGGAGGCGGGGGCTTGGAGGCATCGATCCCCACTCCCTAAGCCATGGGGCGAATACAGGCGAACCTATTTTTGGATCTCAAAGCTTCGCTCGGATGCATGGCGGTCTTGACATATCAACTTTAGGGATGAGGTTAAACATGTGTTTTGCAGGGGTTTGCGCTCGAGAGTTGCTCTCGCCAGATCAATGCTTACCAGTTCGCCACCAGGCAGTCCCTTTCAGTCTATTCGCTGGAGCACAGATAGCGCTGGTTTTAATTCGGTTCTAGTCATTTACCAGTGACATGCATTTTATGGAAACCCAGGCTTGATCGGTTTGGGAACTGTCAAACACATGTCGCATGTCTAGGGCGTCATCTGAATGCCCATTGTTTGGGGAGCAAGCAGCGTCCAAGTTCCATCTTATGAGGTGACCAACATGAGTTGCGAACACTTGCGACTTCATGGCTGAGGTATTTTTGGATTGAAGTTTAGGTTCATGCATCCACGGAAGCGGAAGGTCTGAAACAGATTTTGCGCCCTGATACCTTGGTGCCGTTTCTATCCATTTCTCGCGACCTGTTTTTGAGGGTGTCCATCCAAATGATTGGCTTCATGCTACTCTCCTCTTACACTCGGCCAAAGCGGGTTCGACCTTGTTTTAGTATAGCTATTTTTCTTGTCTTTGTGTTGAGGTCCTCCATGGGGATGGTGTTTTTTCATGAGGATTGGCTGGCTGGCTGGCTGGCTCGCTGGCTGGCTGGCTGGTCAATTGGTTGGTTGGTTGGGCGCATCCCCAGCAACACCAGCCTCACTTGGACCCGGCCTAGGCTTGCCTGCAAACCAGCCAAAACTCACTCAACCACACCCCAAAGCAAACCGAAAGCCACCGCTAAACTAGTAACACACCCAACACAAATCAGCTCCAAGCAAATCCCAAACTCACCAAAATCAGGTTTTCCGCATCCCCAGCAACACCAGCCTCGCTTGGATCGGGGCCTGGGGTTGCCTGTTGGCTCTGATTGAGTGGCAGTTGGGAGTTGCTCGGGGCTGCTTCATTATGAGTGGTTCCAGGCTGGCTTAGATCTTACTGAAGGCGAATCTTGGGTTGGTTTAAACTTCACTCGGGTTCAGCAAAGGGCTGCTGGCATCCAGGCTGCTGCTAGCGCTAGGAACAGCCCTAGGCAGAAAAAGACACCTCTACCCCTGCCGGTCAGGGTCACTGCCGGTCAGGGTCAGCCAACACATTTTGAGCAGCCGGACTTAGGCTCCCCTCCAAAGCAGCAAGATATGTCACAGGCAAACCGAAAGGGTGCTCCAAAGGGAACCAATAGGAGGTTGTTTTTGCAAGAGTTGCTTGTGGAAGCTAACAGGAAAGTGGTGCTGGGGAACCTCCCCGGGTACTTGGATGGAGTGAGAAACCCAGTTCAAGCTGCCATACTACAGGACGTGCGGAAGATCCACGGGTCCTCCTACGCCTTCGCAGCCATCAGGGGCAATGGCCAGGCCTTTTGCGACGTTTGTTTTGGAGGGTGAGGGGGAGGGGGGAGGTGGTGGTTGTTTCTGTTTCCGTCTTTGACTTGATCAGCTTTTGGGAGAAGGTGTTGGGAGGCAGTGAGTGATGTGGAGATCCTGGCGAATTGGGTTGGAAGAGCCTGAAGGACCAAAGTTGCTGGTGTTTTCGTACAACTTTAAAAGTTTGCCCGTTTTTCCAAAAGTTGTGCAACAAATCACAACTTTCCTAAAAACATACAACTTTCACTGAAAAGCTACAACTTTCGACTTTGTGCGAAAGGGTGTGCTGAAAGGGGGACAATCGTGCATTGCGGGCGCAATGAGAGCGTATTAACGAATGGTTTTGAGCGCACCCCTATATTTTGGGCTCTTGTTTTGTTTCTGTGTATCGTTTTTGCGTGCGAAAGCTGCTCGATTGCTCAGTTCTTATGAAGCCTGTTGCACTGACAGCTTATGTTTGCGTGCAAAAAAACAAATCTATACATTTAAGGCCACATCATTTTGGTGATCCTGCCCGAAAATTACGATGCAGCCTGCGCATGTCAAATTCAACTGAGGTTGTTCTAAGTCTATGCAACTTGCACAACATATAACATCAACATGTTCGGGACCATGGCACTCAGCAATCGCAATGCTGAACATGAACACCCGAGGTGCGGTGAACAGAGTCGGCAATTGTTTGTCTCCACTCAGCAAACGACGTGTGATCTCAGATCGAAATTGATGGTAGGAGCTATTTTCTTCACATACGGGCAACGCTGCCAAGAGGCAGCCATGATTGTGAATTGTTTTGTGTTTGAGGATTGGGCAAATTTCGGGGGGCATCGCCGGTGTTCATCCAAATGCAACGGGTGCGAAGAAAACATCTAATCATGTGTTTACCTGTGTGTTATCACATCTTTTAAAGCCAGTCGCGCAAAAGTCGATGCCACCGAGTGCCCACCGACGATCCCTTTTGAGTAATTGCGGGGCAACTGCGTGGGAAATTGCGCCGCTCGCAAGAACAACGAAGCGTAAAGTGGTGTGTTTTTCGCGTGAAAGTGGAGTAATTTGCCATGCTTGCCAAACAATTGCCATTTTCGCAAGTTCTCAGATCCACTTGCGCCCCTTGGCCTCGGAAACCGACAAGATGTTACTTTGCAATACCAGAGTTTTGCTTGAAGTGTTTTCATGGTGGCGTCGGGCAGTTTGCTTAAAGTGGGGTAGAAGCCACGGGTCGCAAAAGGTGGACAGCTTTATGCCTCACAGCGACAAACAACAATGGGCGTCACGCTGAAAGCTCTTCCCGGGCCGCTTCGCAAATGGCAAAGTACAAAAGTGGCTGGCGTGGATAGACACCGGCAAATCATCCGTTGGATGAATCTGAAAGATATTGTTCAAGCTCATGCAAAGAATATTCAAAGGCTCTCCGCCTCAACTTTCATGATTCCTCCTCTTTCCATCGCAAGCTTCCTTGCAGCGGAGATTAACAGGAGACATCATGCTCAAAGCTGGAAGTTTGCGTTGTTCACGGCTAGCAAAAAAAAGAAAAAGGAGTGTCGACACTGTCTGACTGTGCGACTGATAGTTGCACCAACCAGCGTGGTTGTACGAACATCGTCACACTTGTCACCCACGAGCGTTTCAGCCAACGCAGCGGAAATTTCGGGCGCTGACGGTGACCCGCCCATCAAATCGCTGAAAAAACAAGATTTGCAGCGCTCGCAAACACAACAGAACAGTTGCTGGGCAAGCAACTATCGTCCAACATGAGGACAATTTTTCTGGTTACTGCTACAAAGGAGTCGTTGCCATTAGACTAGCTGCCTTAGCCCAGTCGGAGAATTAAAAACACACCACTATTTCAACAGTTGTGTATCTTTTCGCAACTTTCGTTGGTGCCCCATTTTTTCCAGCAACTTGGTTTTCCAGGAGGTAGCTATTGCTTGGGTTTTCTACGAGCAGTTTACAACCCTCGCCTCAAGATATGGGGCACTAACGTGTGCGCAAACAAAATTGGTATGCAGGGGTGAAGGTCAACCACTTTTGGGGGCTCCGATTTCTATGCTCGAAAAACAAATCTCTCCGCTGGGCCTTGTCTTGCAAGCAGAATTCCGCACCCCAGATACCTTGTTTTCGGGGGTGCCTGTCTTAAAGCGTCCTTCTTGTGGGCCCAAAAAGTCAAGTGCACGTTGACCACCGAAATGGCCGGTTTCTTCTTTTTCCCTTCAGCCCCAAAGTGGGGGTCCCCCCCCGACCAGAAAAATCGCTCGGGTCAGGTGGTGACCTGGGGCTCGGCGGACAGCGGCGGGGACAGCCGCTCCGTGTCCCACCGCCTGGCGGAGGTCCGGGACTTGAGCGCCACGGACTCCGCCTTCGCGGCCCTGCGGGCGGGGGCGCTCGGGAACTGCGGCCCAGCCCCATTCCTGAGCCCGGGAACCCCGAAAAACGGGGGCCCGGAAGGGGGGGGTGGGGCTGGGAATTTGTTCACATTGCCATGAATTGCAAGTGAAGTCAAGCGCAAAAGGGGTGGACATCAATCCCCATCCGAGCAAATCTTTTTCTATGGGAAGCCGTAGCTTCATGGAACCTACTGGGTCACTCCTCCAGTTGCTGGGCTTTGTACTTTTCGGGAAGGTTATTCCAGTTCAACAAGATGAACGGTTTCGACTTGTGCGGGCCAATCCACTCAGGAAGTGCTCAAAACAGGGACACTTACGCTGTCCAATCCCAGGGTGTGATGCAAAACGCGCACCACAAGATGCCAGCACAGTCCAATCAGGCCCCAAGCAACAAAGACGCCCTTTTCCCCAAGGCAATCATGTGGTGATATGGGCAACCGTTGTAAAGGGTATCCTTCTCACTAAATGAATGTGACCTCACATGGGTGTTGCAACCTCACCCATGATGACGGGTTTTCCAACAGAAGCATCCTTGTTGTCGGTTGATGCAGTATTATAGCTCGCCCTGAGAGATTCTTGTCACTTCATTTTTTGGCCGAAGCCACGTCAACATAGACCGAGTAACAATCAGTCAGCACATGAAAATGTGTGCTACATGTAAGTATTGGTTGGGTGTGACCAATTAACACGGAACTTGACAGGGGTCCCTTTCAAAGGAAAATGGTCTTCCCGGACCCCCCGAACGTCAGGTTCTATGTTAATTGGTTGGGTGTGCTCTCTCACATCACTTTGCACTCTCTCTTGATGCGCAGGGGGACGGCACTGTGGTGACCTGGGGCGGGCGCCACGGCTTCGGAAGGGGCGGCAACAGCCTGGCCGTGCAGACCAAGCTGCAGGCGCACTTGGCTCTGGGACGTTTCGGGAGTTTGGAGAGTTTATTGCTGGTTCTCAGCATGGCGGTTTCCTTTATGGGGATCCCTAGGTTGATTATCCCCAAGCATCACTTCACCTAATCAAAGGGCCGGTCTAGCCTTGGAAAACGCAGGTACGCGTAAACCGGAAGCATGCACGGTATCCCGAGATGCGGTGAGCGCGAGTCAATGGAAGAAGTGAGCGTGAATGAGTCTGCACTGTGCGTTTTCTTTTCTCGTTGCCGCTTCATGTTTTCTCGGTGTGACACATTGGTGGCAGTCGCAGTGCAACTTCTTTTCTCACGAGCTGCCACGCAAAAACACACAGACACACACACACACACACCCACCCACCCACCCACCCACCCACGCCCACGCACGCACGCACGCACGCGCGCACACACACACACACACACGGACACATACACATACACACACACCCACACCCACACCCACACCCACACCCACACCCACACGCACACGCACACGCACACGCACACACACACCCGCACACACACACACACACACACCCACGCACCCACACACACACACACGCACCCACGCACACACACACACACAAACACACACACGCACACACACACACACACACCCACACCCACACCCACACCCACACGCACACGCACACGCACACGCACACGCACACGCACACGCACACGCACACGCACACGCACACGCACACGCACACGCACACGCACACGCACACGCACACGCACACGCACACACACACACACACACGCACACGCACACGCGCACGCGCACACGCACGCACAACGCCACACGCCACACGCCACGCACACCACACACAACGCACACATGCACACACGCACACATACGCACGCACAACGCACACACACACACACACACACACACACACACACATACACACACATACACATACACATACCACCACACGCACCGCACACGCACACCGCACATGCACACACACACGCACATGCACATGCACATGCACATGCACATGCACATGCACATGCACATGCACATACACATACACATACACATACACATACACATACACATACACATAGGACCTCCGTGTGTGCAGAATTTCAGCCGCCTCACGAAAAAGCAATTATTTCAGTCGTTTTCTCGAAAAGGCTCCTTTTGGTGGAAAAAACGCCTTTGGGTGGTAGAAAAGCCGATTGAAACAAGTCAATATGCCAGGGTGTTTTTTTCGGGATCCCAAAACATACCGGGCGCCCTCTGCCACCACCAGCCTTGCCGGCCTCTCCTTTTGGCACTTCAGCGCGCTCGCGGTGATGCCGAAAGTTGCCCGCCGGGGCACCAAGGAAGGTGTTGGGAAAGCCAGGGTTCATAGTCGCCCAAAAAGATGTCAAAATATTGGAGGGTCTAGGGTTCAACTGTTTCACTTCAACAAAGGCCTCTCCCATACGCAAAATCCCCTAGATCAGCTCTTGAGCGACTTCAGAAAACGCTTATGGACCGCTTTGCTCTTTATGAGGTAAAGCTGAAGTGTGCGAGCACTCAAAAGTTGGCCGGAAACTCTTCGGCTCAGCCGGCTGACCCTTCCGATCACATCCTCACACATTTCACAGCCAAACAGCTGTGGATTTGGAACCCACTGAATTGTCGTGTCCTGGAGCAGCTGAAAAATATCGAGCTTTGCGTGCGCGAGCATGTGGAACTTTGTTTTCATACCAAATCCAGTGAACTGCCACTTGTGGAGGCACAAAAATGCAAGCGCGTTGTAAGACATCAAGAACAGATGTATACCAGCATACAGCTTTGAGGCACAGTGCCTGGGCAACCAAAGGCCGTGGTTGTAAGTGAGGTGTGTGAACTCCTTTGCATGCCGAGCACCTTCGCGCATGATCCGCAATGTCTCGGCGTGCTCAGGATTCTTGAGGTCTTGCTGAAACCCTGCGACCAAAACCTGGAGCCATGAGATAAGAAGCATGGTGTCAGATCCCTTGCTGTTCGTCCATCCGTATGTGTTCTGGTTTGGGGCGTTAAAAAACAGAGTCGTAAAGCTGTGAAGCCCAGGCGACTTGCCCGTTGCTGAACACCACAGTCTGAAGTGCCCAAAAGCTCGCTCCAAAAGCACTTCGCGTTTGTTTGATTCCCCACCTTGATTGAAATAGCCAAATTTGCATAAAAGCAAAACAGCTCCGCCGATATAGTCACGAAAGATTCCGCATTTGGTGTTGTGGAAGATGTCCCGTCTCATCACAGATTCCGGCATGGACTGGGAAAACACAAGTGACACAAGAGGTGGGTCTATTTCCCAGGGCCTTTCGTAGCCAATCGTTGCTTCCCAGCTAGGGCGGTGATTGAAGTCTTCAAACGGGTAGTCACGACCTCCGGCGCCACATTCATGGCAACAAGGCGCTTGTAGTGAAAGCTGTTGCTTCCAGCAGCGGGTGAGGTTTGCAACTTTCTTGTACCAGTCCAAGTCGCCCTTGAGACCAGTAAGTTGGCAAAACCATCTCTTGTCATTTACGCAGACTCCCTCAGTTGCTAATTCTCGCAGCTCGTGACACAGGCGTTCCACAATCGTAGTCAACACCCCTGGCTGCTTGCTGAGGGTGTGACCTAGCACGCACAACACAAACTTCGACAGAAAACTGTTGTTCCTCAAGTTTGTAACTTGCCTTGCTGGAGAAGTCAATGAATTGTCACCGCCAATTCGTGGGGCATATCCAGCTGGTGTCTTGCACTTCTTTGAGAAATTCTCGGAAACAAAGCATTCATCACAATCGCCGGGCCTGATCCGCTTTTTCGTCTCGCAAGCGGTTTGCAACCCGAGGTTCACTTCCAACATGATGACGCAGGTGTTAGTCCGCCTTCGGCCGCGGCCCTCATCTCCATGGAGAGATACAGGCACTGTTGTTCCCGAATTCTGCGTGGCACCAGGTTGAAGAAACATGTCGTGATTGTAGGCTTGTTGGTAACAACGCCAGAAAGTTTTCAAATTCTCTTGTCCAAGTTCGGGGTCAGTAAACCCACCGTTCAGTAGCTCTGGGGCCTTGTCGAGCAAGAAGCAGATGAACGTTTTGGGGCTGATGAACGGGAGTGTGGTTCTCTCTTCTGCCTCGCCAACTTCCAAGTAGCTAAACGGCACCTTCCACGCCAGCCCCCATCGCCCAATCCAGCGATGAGCATCCCTGGTGGCATTGTGTTTGCTTGTTGCCCGGCCAGGCCCATCCACTTCTTCGCGCGCAGCTTGGTGAAGCTGGTGGATGGAAGCCGCAGGAGCCTTGGCCGAGTGGTTCCCACTTTTGGGTACGAAGCGCGACGCACGAAGCTGCTAAGCGCCCAGCGCCATCCGAGAGCAATTCCGCATAGGTGTTTGCCAGACTGCCGGTAGCAGGCTCAGGTTCTGCACCTGGCCGGATGCGGGGCCACCAATTTAGAGAGCACAAAATTGCGAAAAGGCAGGTGGCAGCTTTGTTTGTAAGACGGCGTCCGCAGAGCTTTTTGAACCCCAGCGGCGCTCAGCTGCCGTGCACTCTGCAACACGTGTTCTGCACATGCTGTCCAGAGAAAAGGCCCCCTTCTTCCCCCAGCATTGCCGTCATGAACTCAAGGCAATGAAATCAGACGTTGCCAGAAGAAGGGGCCACCCCATGTGACTAAGCACCTCTCATGCTCGCACACTTCAGATTCTGAGTGTGAAGGCATTCAAGTAAATGCGCCTTATGCGCGGAACTCCTAGTGTCGGGCACGCTTTTTAGGTGTCGGGGAAACCTGTTCGGTTTTCGCAGCGGATTTTGCCTTGGCTGTGGCCTTTCGAACCACTCTAGCCTTAGCCTTAGGCTTGGCAGAGGCTTTCGGCTTTGGCTTTTCCCCCGTGACCTCCTTTGGGGTGAACGGCCTGGCGCAAAGAGCGAACAAGCAAGGGAATGACAAGGGGCGGGAGGCCTTGCCTGGTTCGGGCTTCCAGCGCCAGCGACTCTGTGGCCCTGCTGGAAACAAACAAACGCAGCCTAACCGGCTTACCCAGCTGTGAGTGCTGAGGTCACGGCACCCGGGTGGCTTCTTCGAGCTTGGCCCTCAAATCAGCTTCAATCCTTGGCGTTGGCTAATACGGGACGGGTTAGGAACTTTGCTTGGTTAAGCCGGGAGACTTGTGCAACTGAGTAGCTCTTTTGTGTAGCCTCCAACGATCCCAACCGAGTATGCTTCAGAGATCAGTGTCTGTTGAGCTTCAAGTTTCTGCAGGAAATCGGAAAGGGCCCGCAGGAGCCTAGGCAGCAACGAAATAAACATGGAATAAGGAGGTCCTTTTCAGGTGGGGTCGGAAGGGCTCAAGACAAACCAGCCCAAAAAGGGGTCCCCCGTTTTAAGGAAAGCGTTCCCGCCAACTGCATTGTGTTGTTCTGGTGTGGGCTTGCGCAACACAGTAACCAGCAGGCCACAATGATTCACAACGCCCCAGCATATTTGGAGATGGTTTGGCAACAAAAGGCAACCCGACAAAACAGTTTCTTTTTGCGGGGTGGGTTGCGCAAAAGGTTTAGGGCACCATGATAACAAGTAGCGCCTAGTCTTTCGGGCAGCTTGGTAACTAGGCTGTGTTGATTTATTCAAAACAGTTGGTGCTCGAACGTATCTTTGGGGTGCGTTGCAAAACCGGTTTGGGGCGCTTTGAGAAACATGTAACATCTATGTTGGGCACATTATGCAACTGAGTTCGGGCCAATTTCTCGGGATACGACGCACCTGGTTTGGGGCACCGTCAAGAACAAGTACTGCCCGCAAACTATTCTTTGGGGTGGCTTGGAAACAGAGTGGGTTGTGAGAAACTGCTGGTGCCTGAACGTACTGTGGGGGTCGGGTTCTGAAACTGGCTTGGGGAAAAACAGGGAACAGCTCCGCAAGCTAGGCTAGGGGGTGGCTTCCAGAAGGCGTTTTTTGCTGCTTAGAACCCCAAACATTGTTTTCCCACCATTTTTTGAGAAACCAGGCAACCTACTCTGAATGTC